TATATATATATATATATATATATATAACAGTGTGTGTGTGTTTAGAGAAATATTCGGTTGATTTGAAGATTGATGATGTCTCTTTATGTACAATGTTTCTTGATGATTAGCAGTCTTTTTGTTTATCTCAATGACTAAAGTGATTTATTGTAAAATTCAATCGATGAAGTCATTCGCCCCATCTGCATAACAAAAGAATAAACAATACGTGTCCTGATCAAGAATAAAAGAGTCACCCCTGCCAAATCCTCAATGCAATTAATAGAAAACGGAGAAGATAACTATAGAAGGAAGATTATCCAGAGCTGCCCTAACCCTGCCATATCCATGCAGATTAACCCACCATTTACATAACTCGTTCATTAGCAGTGGTCTGAATAATCGGTTTGAAAGCCCTGCTTCGTAGAAAACGGAGAAATGCGTTGTGTTAAAAGTGAAGGAAGTTAATCTGACACGCGGCATTGCTCAAAGAAACTGCTATGACCCGTGGTTATGATTGACTGACTGGTTATCATGTGACTAAACGAAATAGAACCACTAACAGCTGATCGACCCTGAAGTCTTCTGCACAGTCATTCTGATCAAGAAGTGTTAGCATTCACGTAACATTTTATGTATGCCTTCTTTTCGATAGTTTTAGTAATTCTTAAAAAAAAAAGAAACACTTGGGTAGACAACCGATTTCCAAAAGACAATACTGACACATTTATTATTTTTTTGTTAAAGCAATATGTTTATGTAATGATGGTATTTTTTATTGCTTTAAATTTTATTTATAATTTCCACCCTTATATTTCTTCACTCTGGAATTTGAACAGAAATACGAAAAAACATATTAGTAAAAGGCTATATGGAAACTGTATATCAACCATACATGCACAGTGGCACAGTCTGCAAGTAGTGATTTATAAAACAAATCTGCTAGATCAATGCGTTAAATTTCGCTGATAAGGGGAGTCAGATATCATGTATATAGATCAAGGCTAGGAAATATTACTTCATTTATACTACTGTATATGGAGATTTGATAAAACACAGGTAACAGACTAAGAAAAATGAAATGAAAAAAGGATCAATATCTTCGAAAGATGATCGCCCGAAGATGACGTCATCTGTTTGGTCACGTGAGCCAGGAAGTTTGGGAGCGAAGCGTGTTTTTAGTGATGTGTTTTGGATTTGACCATTATTGTTATTGCAAATGAGTATAAAGCAAGGTGGCTCTAAGATACCCGGGTGTAAATATAAAAAATAGGACTTGATTATAAGTGTGAAATCAAATTCATCGTCGTAACGGCGGCTGTTGAAAGCAAAGATGGAGAGAGTTTCCCATGTAGGTAAATCAAATCGGCCTCGTTTCCATTCTCTCCGAAGTTATCTGTCTGGACAAGTTGATACGGAAACAGAAACAAAGTGATGATGGAAATAAAACTAAATCTGGCATTAAAACATGAACTACTTAAACATAAACCTGAGACGGGTGTGGATTTACACATTGATAAGTGAAAAATTTAATCTTGCGCTGACGAAATCTGACATGGAGATACGAGCATTGATAAAGTTTTGTAAAGCAATAATGCAAGTGATTTTGTCTTTAATTCGCATAAAAATCGGCGTTGATTTGTTAACAAGTCGGATTTACAGCTGTTTGGGTCCTGCCGATGTTGCCACCAAGTCCAAGGTAAGCTTGGACGGCTTCTTCGTCTTCATTTTCATCTTCATCCTTTTCTTTTTCTTCCCCTTCTCATTTTTGTTTGTTAGCAGCCGATTTAATAACGCATGGAGAGATGCGGAAACCCAAAGACTAATCTTTCAATCGACAGGACTCTGCTACGAAATTTTCTTTATTTCATCGTGTCGGCTTGTTTTCATTTTAAGGTCGATGTAGATATTTAAGTCATGAAATATTAGCTTGAGTTTATAATGGATTTTGAATGACCCGATGAATTTTGAATTTAGATTAAGCCTATTTGCAGCATATCCACAAATTTAATTTATGATTTAAGCGAAAAGAATGAAACTCTTCATGCCGGTACATAACTAAATAAAACATTATGGTTTAAGCTCTTGTTTAAGAGGACATTCCACGTCCTCGAAACAAGCAACAAAGTTAAATGTTTCGCCTCAATGGATGACTTCCCTTGTAAAATCATTATCAGCTTGTGCGTACTCATGATGCGGATATCGTCATTAAGTCCGCGTAATTAATATCCAGAGTGGACTGCACAGAATTCGAGGCGCATTTTGATTTTAGTTTGGCTATTTTTTGGCGAAACTATTTTGGGTGTACAGCAAGTTTTTATTTGTTTGATGCGAAATGCATGAGCTGTGTTTGAATTCGCAGTCGCACGTGTTCCTTGTTATATATTTTCATTTCTCTACGATATCGGTGCTTTATCTAAATCAAAAAGGGGATTGAGTGAGAACGAAACAGTAGGCGATAAGAGGGGGGGGAGAGAGATTTGTTGCCAGCTGTGTATCAGTGAGAAGAAAAAAGGATGAACAGGGAAGAGAGGAAACAAGTGAGAAGAGAAAAACTGGTGAATGAAGGATTATAAAAAAAAAAAAAAAAATAAGATAAAATAAATTACGCCGTGGATATTGTTCCGGCACCGGATTTTATAACAGTGGCTATTCGTCCGGCATAGATGCGCACTAACTATTTGCGCGCAAACACACACTCGCGCATAAGCCTTGCATACAAACTTTGGCGCTGTTTTGTGTTGTTCATTGTTCATGGCTAAGGGTCGATCATCGATTATGGATTCCTTCAAAGTTGGAACTGAATTTGCCAGTTTTGCTTGTGTGAAGGACAGCTTGACCAAAATTCAAGAGAGCACTTTCGCACAGTTTTATGTCAAAGATTCAAGGACTGTTGCTGCAGCTTTGAAAAGTACACTGGATAAGAAAGTAAAGCCAGAGTTGAAGTACTCCTTAGTGTTTGCCTGTATCGAGAAATACGGCAATCAGGAGGGGGTCCGGGGCGTAGCCCCCCGGGTTAGGAAGGATTTTTGGTTCATACGGCGATCCTACCGGTAGTTCGTGCGTTTAAGAGGCGGTTCACTCGCTCATTCGTTCCCGCAACGCCGTGTCGAATCATCCGTTGGCGAATCTTCCCTCGGGTTCTTACATGTTTCATCATCTTATCATCTGAATGCTATCCTCGGGGATTTTCAATTTCCCACATTCTTTTGTTTTTAAAATGCACGATATGAACGAAATCATCCCCCCAACCCGATTCCCACGGGATCCCCAACATTGTTGGCGGGAGTCGGGGACTACTCTGAAGGTGCGGTTATAGGCACGATAAAATCACAGAATAGGAATGAAAATCACAGAAATGTCAAACTGTAGCAAACTTAGCATGTATGTCCACTTGGTCCTAAGAATGATTTAACATTTTGATGATGTGCGCCCTGCCGAAGAAATAACTCTTCAGTGCAGGCTCCGACAAAAAAGCCGGAAAATTTCCCAGCAGACTCGATCCTACTATGAATATTGCATGAAATGACAAAGACAGAATTATTGACAGTGCGCAAGCGCGAGTGTAGCCGGACGAATAGCCAAAATGTTATAAAAATCCGGTGCCGGAACAATATCCACGGCGTTAGAATTATTTCATTAGTGACTTATGCGGATGTTTGTTGTTAGTCCATTAGCAATTTATTTTTTATTATTTTCTTAATATATATATATATAATATATATATATATATATATATATATATATATATATATATATATATCTCTCTCTCT